AGCCATGCTGATGTTTGTAGGTGCAGGAGAGCTGGTCCTGCTTCTTCTGGGAGAGCTGGTCCTGCCCCTCACCAGCCCACAGCACTGGAATTCTGGTAGTAGTGTGGACATGGGAGAGAGCTAGTCCCATCCCATTCTGACCTCTGCATGATTTTACTCAACTGATGGCTTCTGGCTTGGATGCAGGCAGAGAAGACTCATCCTCCCTTGGGATGGCCACTAGGAATTTGACCATGCTCCAGGGAATATGTGAATAACACAAAATGGACTTGCCCTTTCTTTTGGTGGCAGGGAGGGGGGGTCATGAGGGAAGGAGAGTGAACATGGGAAGACTGGGAGGTGAACATGACTGGGGTGCTTGATGTGAGATTCCCAAATAATCAATAAAAATAATTTAAAAATAAAAGCTGAATATTCTAAGGAAGAAACCTTTTAACTGCAGGACGCCTGTTCATTTACCAGGGCAACCTTGGTCCTGTCCCTCAGAGTAGGTACAGAGCCATTTCCAAGTGGGAGGAGCCATCCCTAAGTGGGTCCGGGTTGAGTCCTGCTTATTGTTGCTGTCTTTTGTACCATCTTCAGTCTGTCTGCATTCAGGTCCTCCCTCCAGTCTTGGGATCTTTATTTACTACTGTGCCTGTGACTATAAATAGAGATTGTGCGTTGGTTTCCCGGCTTTCCAGACCTGAATAATCACACAGAAACTATATTAATTCCAACACTGTTTGGCTAATGGTTCATGCATATTTCTAGCTTGCTTTTATATCTTAAAGTAACTCATTTCTAGTAATCTGTGCATCACTACAAGGCTGTGGCCTACTGGTAAAGTTCAGGCATCTAACTCCTTTGGCAGCTGCATGACATCTTCCTGACTCCGCCTTCTTTCCTCCTCTATCTCTGCTTGGAATTCTGCCCTGCCATAGGCTCAAGCAGCTTCTTTATTAACCAATGGTAATAAAACATATTCATAGGATACAGAGGGAATCCCACAGGCTGAGACTGTGTATGTATATTAGATGCTCTTTGACCCTGTTGTTATTCTGTGTGGGGGTGTCATGGCTGACAGGCTAGGGAGCTGCAGGGGAGATTGTTAAAAAGCAGAATGGTCACCGTAGGCTCATACGTTTGAATACTTGGTCCCCAGTTGGTGGAACTCTTTAGGAAGGATTAGGAAGTGTGGCCTTGCTGGAGGAGGTGTATCACTGGGGGCCAGCTTTGAGATTTTAAAAGCCCACTCTATCCCCAGTCATTTTGTGTATGTGTTGCTTTTATTTGTTAATAAATAAAGAAGCTGCTTTTGGCCAATGGCTTACAAGAATATAGTCAGGTTAAAAGATTTATATATAGAGAGAGTAGGCAGAGTCAAGGAGAAGCCATGTAGCCCCGTCAGGAGACAGATGCCAGATAGGACTTTACCACGTAAGCCACAGCCACGTGGCAGTACACAGATTAATAAAAATGGGTTAACCAACAACATAAGAACTAGCTAACAATATGATTAAGTGATTGGCCAAACAGTGATTTAAATAATATAGTTTCTGAGTGGTTATTTTGAATCTGGACAGCCAAAAACAAACAAGTGGCCTCCTACAACACACACTCTCCCCTTCAAAGTTCCACCCCTTCCCATAGTGCCATGTGTTCATGCCCAAGCCTTCACCACCAGCCTCTGGAGGACATTTAGGATCCAAGCCATGCTTTGGAGACCAGCATGCAGGAGTACTAGCAGAAGTACTGCTAGTCTAGGCCACACCCTCCTCCAGTTCTGCAGCATAAGCTTGGATTTGTAGGGAAGTTACTGAGTCTGTGACCTTCTGCAGCAGCCTTAGGAAACTGGCCCAGATGGGAACCTTATTAGGACCCAGCAACCCTTTTCCCCTCCTCACTTTCCCATCTGGCCGGAGGATTAGGCATGGCCCTTCCTTCACATCCTGTTGTTCTTTGTTGGGATGAAGTCCTGCACCGGGCTCTGGACAGGGTCTAGGATGTTTTGGCTTTGGCTGACACCTCTGACCCACATGGTTTCTGTGGGAAGTCAGCAGGTTTCAGCACAGTTTGGCCTCTTTAGCCTCTGGGGCAGCAAGCAGCCTTTTGTTGACTTCACTTGACAGCTTGTGACATCCTTCAGATGGCAAAAATCCCTGGGAATGGGTTTTGGTTCTGCAGCCACCACCATGTGACCTTGAGCCAGATTCTCTAGTCTGAGTGTCTAGTCTTCTTTGTGAGAAAGGTCCTGAGTACACCCATCTTCACCAGCACACCCCTCTGTCTTAGTTCTCCAGTGGCTCGTGACAATGCTGTGTGTGTGTGTGTGTGTGTGTGTGTGTGTGTGTGTGTGTAGTGCAGAAGGAGGGCTGTGATAGGTAGGGATGGGCACTAGAAGAAAGGCTTCTCTGTCCCAAGTTGTTCCTTGCTCCTTTCAGAAGCCACTAGGTATGCTCAGTACAACCTGCATAGTCCCCAGCTTGAACTCAGCTGTGTTTCCTGCTTCCCCAGGAGGGAGAGGACCCAGGGGACCCTGGAAGATGATAGTGAGGCTGGAGCCCAAGGCATGGGAGGCCCTACAGCAGTGACTTCAGACTGAAGTTTTTCCAGTGTTTCTAAATTGGGAGTGGTTAATGAGGGTTGTTTTGGCGTGGAGAGACGGGAGCTGGCAGTGTTAAAGCATTTGCAATAAACACATGCCCTTGTAACAGGAAGGGCCCGCTTGTTTGTCCCGGCTGCCCAGCTAGCTTAGCTCAGAAATAACCACACAGAAAACTGTATTAATTAAAAACACTGCTTGACCCATTAGCGCTAACTTCTTATTGGCTGACTTTTACATCTTAATTTAACCCATTTCTATTAATCTGTGTGTCATCACTTGACAGTGGCTTACCAGCTAAAGTTCCAGCATGTCTGATGCTGGCGGCTGCTCCATAGCGTCTCCCCCTGACTCTGTCTCCTTTCTCCCAGCATGCCACTTAGTTTTTCCCTGCCTACCTAAGTTCTGCCCTATCAACAGGCCCAAAGCAGTTTCTTTATTAACCAATGACAGCAACACAAAGACAGAAGGACCTCCTACACCATGCCCTGGTTGGTCTGATGGAGCTGATGGGGCCTGAGTCCTAAGTGCGCTATGGATAGTCAGGTTTGGGCTACCTCAGTGAGTCTACACTGCAGTTCTGCTTCACAGAGGAGATGAGTCGCATGTGGGTCCCAGAGGTTGTAGTGCTGGTAGGGTGGGTTGAAGATTTGAACTCGGGCAGCCTGACTCCTCAGCTGTGAAGCAGTCAAGGCTGTGTCTGTGTGGATAATGAAGCCTATGTGTAGGGATGTGTGTGGAAAATGGCAGCAAGGGCAAACCAAGACAGCTAGCTTCAACAAGGGAGTTTACTTCCCTCCCAGAAAAGGGTATCTTGAGGTAGGTGCCATGCCTTGAGGTGCAAAGTCAGTGTAATGATTTCTATTTATTGTTCCAGAACTGTCTTCCATGTTGCCCTGCCCTTCCTCATGGTGCTTCCTCATTGTAGAAATGACTGCTGGGTCGGCAGGAAGGAGGAAGGGGAGAGAGAAAGAGGTGCTGCTTCCACCCAAGATCTCTGTCCTTGGACAGCCCAGCTAGGCTCTGATGTCTTACCAATAAGGAAATGGTGAGATGGTGGATAGTGGAGGTTTCTCTCTTTTCTTTCTTTCTTTCTTTCTTTCTTTCTTTCTTTCTTTCTTTCTTTCTTCCTTCCTTCCTTCCTTCCTTCCTTTCTTTCCTTCTCTCTCTCTCTTTCTTTTTTCCTTCCTTTCCCCCTCCCTCCCTCCCTCCCTCC